GGTATATAAAGTTTTCACAAAAACTGTTCGGGGTCCTTGGCTAAGACAAGACTCTGCCTTGGCCCCGCCCATGTAATAAATTGCACTCCACTATCTGCACTGTCCTTCTGAGTCAGGTTGTTTCCCAGAACACATGGCGACAACCGTAAAATGCATGGAATGATTGTCAATGTATTTTATGCCTTGAAAGCTTAACATGCAAAACCTTAAGAACTACCTCTGCGCCTATATTCCTGCTCAGTAAATAAGTTCATCAATATATTTCTTAAATTCCATATATATCTGTTAAGACAATATTTGCACAAATATAGAGATGAGACGTGGACACAGCAGGAGAAGAAGAGGGCGACCAAGTGAAAGGGTACCACTGACGTATATACACCACCATGGGTAAAACGTTGGAGAAGACTCCTGAGAGTCCCTTGGACTGCAAAGAGATCCAACCAGTCCATCCTAAAGGAAATCAGTCCTGATATTCATTGGAAGGACTGATGTTGAAGCTGAAACTTCAATACTTTGGCCATCTGATGTGAAGAACTGACCCATTTGAAGAGACCCTGACGCTGGCAAAGATTGAAAGGGGGAGAAGGGGACAACAGAGGATGAGGTGGTTGGATGGCATCACTGACTCAATGGACATGCGTTTGAGCAAGCTCCAGGAGCTTGCTGGTGACAGACAGGGAGACCTGGCTAGCAGCACTCCATTGTGTCACAAAGAGTCAGACACGACTGAGCACCTGAACTGAACTGATGGTTAAAATAGGTAGCTGGTGGGAAGCTGCTGTTTACCACAGGGAGCTCAGCTTGGTGCTCTGTGCTGAGCAGAGGGGTGAAACGGAGACCATGGGAGGGAGGGGCAAGAAAGGAGAAGATTTATGTATACTCACGGCTGATTGATGATGTCATACAGCACAAACTAACACAACATTGTAAAGTAATTATATATATATGTCTCAAAAGGAAAAAAAGCTAAACAGACTGGGCACCCGATGGTGGAGAATCCATCTGACCCTGCAGGGGACAAGGGCTTCATCCCTGGTCCAGGAATACTCCACATGCTGTGGGGAGACTAAGCCTGTGCCCCACAGCTGCTGAGGCTGGGCGGGCAGCTTGCTCTTTTCCATGAGCAGGAGGCAAAAGAAAGATGCTCACCATTGCTAAACAATAAGAAACGCAGAGCAAAGCTACAGGGATATATCACCGCATGCCAGTCAGAATAACAATGAGCAAAAAGCCCACTAAAATATCATAGACGCTGAAGGGGCTTGCAGATCAGGGAATCTCTTACATGGCTGGAGGGACTGTAAGCTGGTGCAGTCACGTGGGTGGACTGTGTGGAAGTTCCTTAAAAAACATAACCTCCTGACATTTAAGGAAATGAATTCCATGAAAAGTAGACAAGACAGATTAATCAAAAAATTGACAAGAATACACACACACTCACATATTCCTTCTTGAGTTTCTCACTGCTAACATGTATACCTTCAGATATTTATACCTTGTATTCAATGTGTGTTATGTAAATTACATTATGTATATATCTTCAGATCTTTATATATTGCATTCAAAGTATGCCAAAGCCATGAGAAAACAGTTCCTTTAAGCCTTACAAGACACATGTGTGAAGAATTATACAGGGTAAGATTTTATAAATCTTGGTTCAGAATTTTCCCATCATGGCTTTTGATTATTCTTTTTGTGACTTTGTTAAACTTGCATTTGCTTAAATGAGCCCCTGAATAGTTTGAGCTAACAGAAGAACGAGGGACAACTGCAGCAGGTGAGTTTATGACTCTGAGTTTAGGTCCTCAGAGAACTCACAGCAAGGCTTGCGGGCCCCTGAGGAAGGTCAAGGCTAGAACCAGGCAGAGAAAATTCCAGTCCTTGGGGTTCAGACCTGACCCTGGGTGAAGTGCTGTGGGTCCCACAGGCTGAGTGTGGAGGGGTCCATTCAAAGAAAGACGAGCAGGATTCTGGTGAGCTCAGAGGGTATCACTGAAGGGGGGCCTCTGCAGTAGACCCTGGGGTTCAGCAAGACTGCTGATCCCAAGGAAGGGGTCATCTAGTGCAGGTGCTCACAGGACCGGCTGGTGTGAGTTCAAGGACCTGCAGGCTGCCTGCTCCCCAGACAGACGCTGAGGCAGCAACAGCATGGAGCAGTTCATGGGAGCTCTCAACAGTGCTCTGTGTGATCCTTCTTATTAGAACCACCACGATGTCCAAGTAGATAAAAATGGGAGAGAAGATACAACGTAGAAATGGTGGGAAATATATGAAGTTATGAGAGGTTTAATGGCAGTAAGGAACTAATTTCTACAGATGCCATCGCCCTGTGCTACAAATAGTTTATCATTACCTTGCCTTTCCTGCAACCTTAAATAGGTGGGAGAGGTTGATGCTGGTGGTGCGTTAACCTTTCATTCATTCCACATCAACTGTAACAGTGAAAAACCATTCACTTTTAATAATGAAGTTACATTAATTTTACACAGATGGAATAAAATCTTTTACAATTGTTGTTTGATGCTTGATTAAAATACAGATTACAAGCTTCTAAAAACTTTCCTGTTTCTCTGATGAAATGATCTGAGAATGTGATTAATATGGTTTACAAAATGGAGGCTAATTAAGTAAACATGGATGGACATTAATTATATTAATATGACTTTTCCAGAAAGAGTTTTCGATACTGACATCAGATAGAAGAGAAGGTGTCCTTCCTTCAAGCCTGCCAAATATGCATGATTTCTCTATGTTGCTGTTATAAAAATACCTTAGATTTTCATGAACTATCCTTGTTTTATGCTTAAAAGCAACTGACATAATTATTGAAAACTTGGGGCAAACTTCTATCTTACTTTGAATTATTCCTTGAACACTTACATCATGGTGACCACAGAGGTGTTTGACATCAGTGACAAATACCTCCATTCAGAGGTTTAGTGTGTATAGAACATGACTGTGTTCTTAATCTTATAAATTGGAGAATAAATGTAAATGATTCCCACTTAATATTGAAGGGCTTCTCTTACCATTGGGCAACAACCATCAAAAACATAATTTCATGTATACAATAGAAACAAATCACAGCATGTAGTAATTTGAGAGTTGAATTACATTTGTTNTAGCTTTTTGTCTGGTACCGACTGCCCTCAAATAAGAACCTCCTGTATACCTCTGTGTTTCCTTATCACCTAGCATACAGCAGGAGCTTAATAAATAGTTGGTTAAACAAGGCAATGGCTTCCTCCTCTGCCTCTGGTCTGGTTAGGGGAAGCACACTGATTGGAACCGCCCACCCTGGCCAGGCACCATAGTAACCATTTGCATGAGTTGTTTTATGGCAGGAGATCCTGATAAGGAATACAGAACTAATAAGCCACCACCAGCCAGAAGAGTTCGGGAAAGGTCGAGAGGAAACACTACCTGTCCGTCCTCTTCCCAGAATCCCTCTCACTAGCATCCATCCTGGCTGAGCGATTCATACGCCACCAGGAAAGACTCTGAATTAGAATGATTGGCCAAAGACCACCCGGAAATTAATCCCATCACCATAAAACCCAAGACTGGAGCCACGCGGCAGAGCAGTTCTCCTGGGTTCCCTTACCTACCTGCTCTCCACCTGGGTGCCCTTCCCAATAAAATCTCTTGCTTTGTCAGCACGTGTCTCCTCAGGCAATTCTTTTCCGAGTGTTAGACAAGAGCCCAACTCTGGGCCCTGGAAGGGGGTCCCCCTTCCTACAACACTTAGATTTGGTGACTTACTAAAGACTTTTCCACATGTATTACACTTGCAATGTTTCCACTTAGTCTGAATATTCTGCTGTTGAATAAGTTTTGAAGACTGGTTAAAAACTTTACCATAATCATAACAATTATAAGTCTTCTGTCCAATATCCATACTCTTATAAGTATTAATAGTAAGATGTGAGCTTTGATAAAATATATTCCTACACTTACTATGTTCAGAATTGTTGTCTGAAAACTGATGTCCCTGTTGTTTCACGAGATATGAGTCTTGGTCAACATTATGCCCAGTTTCATTGCATGAAGAGCTTCTCATTCCATCATGTATACTCTTGTAATTATTGGGGGTAGAGCTCTTGCTTAAGGCAGTCCTCATTTCGTTAATCACTGTGTAACTGATTAAATACAGATTACAAGCATAAACAACGATATTCATTCCTTTGATACAATGATCTCAGAACTGTGATTTCTACGGTTACAAAATGGAGGCTAATCATTTACAAATGAAACAAGATGTACACGAATTGTATGACTTTTCTGAGAAGGGTTCCCATACATTTCTAGGGTATCAGAGGTATCTTTATTTGAAATATGTCAACTAATATTCATGACATCTGTTGATATTATAATGATACGTCAAGAGTTCAGTGAACTGTCATTGTATTTTCCTTAAAATGCAAGTGACATAACTATTGAAAATGTGCATCTTACTTTAATATGTGGAATTACTCCCTGAACACTTACTTCATGGTGACCTATAGGGATGTTTGACATGAATGACTAACACCTCCATTTAAATGTTCAGTGTACATGCTACATCACTGTGTCCTTAATCTCCTAATGGAGAATAAATATAAATGATCTCTCTCTAGGATAGAAGGCCTTGTCTCATCTTTGAGTAGCAATCATCAAAAACATAACTTTGCATGCACACTAACAATGAAGCATAGCAGCATGGAGTAATTTGAGAGTTCAAAAACATATCTTGGTTTTCAAATAATCACAAGTCATGTCAATATAAACAAAGATACATTGCTCATAATTGTACATTTCTAAATACCAACCCTTCATCTTGTGATCCATACTAACATATCAATTTTCTATGTTTTAACTATGGATTACTATCTACAATACTTCTCCTGAAGAGAACTTTAAAAAACAGGATTGATGAAATGCTTTCTAGTGTGTGGGCTTCCCTGAAAGCTCAGTTGGTAGAGAATCTACCTCCAACTCCAGTATTCTGGCCTGGAGAATTCCATGGACACAGTCCCTGGGGTTGCAGAGTTGGACACGGCTGAGCAACTTTCACTTTTTCTAGTGTGCAATATCTGGTATTTATTTAGATATAACTTTCATTAAATACTTTCCTACGTTGTTTTATGTAATTTCTAATCTTTTCTAAATAAATAGTCCTGTATTTTCTGAAGTGTATGTTTAGGACAAACCTCTTCCATCACTTGCTTTATTACTAGAGTTTCTCTCCAGTATGTGTTTTCTGATGTTTGGTAAGGTGAGAGCTCTGATTAAAGCCTTTGCCACTTTCCTTACATTTATAAGGTTTTTCTTCCAGTATGGATTCTCTGATGTTGAGTAAGATGTGAGTTCTTGATAAAGGCTTTTCCACATTCTTTACATTTGTAAGGTTTCTCTCCAGTATGAATTCGCTGGTGTTGAATAAGACTTGAGTGGTGACCAAAGGCNCCATAATCATAACAATCATAAGTCTTCTCTCCAATATCCATACACTTATACGTATGAATAGTAAGATTTGAGCTTGGATAAAGTATATTCCTACACTTATGTTTAGAATTGTTGTCTGAAACTTGATGTCCCTGTTGTTTCATGAGATATGAGTCTTGGTCCACATTATGCCCAGTTTCATTGCATGAAGAGCTTCTCATTCCATCATGTGTACTCTTGTAATTATTGGGGGTAGAGCTCCTGCTTAAGGCATTCCTCATTTTGTTACACTTGGAAAGTTGTTCCACACTAATTATACCTCCATGTGTATTAAACAATGATGGTGGAATAAGTTCTCTCCCATTATTATCAACATTACACATTTTGGAACAAGGAGAAAATAGTTGCTGGTTCAAGAACAAGAAACCCTTGTTAAAAGATCCCTCAAATTGATTGTATTGGGAATTTTCCCCCTCATGTTTAAGCTTCTGATTTCCAGACATGTTTGAATGTATATTTAATAGACAACTATGCTCAGAGTGTAGGTTTGAATGAGTATTTGCAGTAGAGAATAGATGACTTTCCAGATTTTCCACATTTCCCTTTAGAGAACATGTATGTTTCAACAGATGATGTGGATCTTTGCTGACAAATATACACTTAACTGCAGATGTTGATGACTGAAATTGGTCATCTGAAATTGGGTTTTCCTTATTTGATTCACATCCTTGATTTCTTTCGGCGGTAATGTTTACTTTATGGGAAACTATACCAACTTGGTCGTGTCCATCACAACATGCTCTCCGCTCTTTATATGACGTCATAGATTCCCAGGCTTTGGTTAAATGTAAATGTGCAAGATGAAATCTTTCACATATTCCTAGCTTTGCTGTTGGGAGTAAATCTTCTAAGCCTGGCTGTTGGGTCCTCAAACCCTGGGTGTGGTGAGAAAACACAGCTGAAAGATAACAAATAATAAATTATTCTACTTACTATTCTTGGAGAATATAGTTTACAATTTACATAAAATTGGCATAGACTTGGCTAGATTAAGCCTAAAACCGAGATAGAAGGAGTCAAGATGGCAGAGGATTCGGAAGACGTGGAGTTCATCTCTCTCCACAAAAGCATCAAGAATACATCTTGAAGTGGAAAAATTCCCAGAGAGCCCTGCAGAACACGGGCAGAGGAACTTGGACACCTGAAAGGAGAAGAAAGATTCCTGCTGAGCCAGGTAGGACAGGAGAGTGATGGAGGAAAGTGAAGAGGAAAAGAAGCCGGATGGGACCCGCAAATCCCTAGGGGGTTCTGAAGAGAGGAGACGTCTCCACATTCAGGGAAGCTCCTCAGTGGGGGAGCTCATTTGGGACAGAAGGGGAGCCTTGTTCTCTGTGGGAAGAGAAAATGGAAACCAGCATGCAGGATAGAGTGAGACCTGCATGCAGGGTACTGACCCCTGCCCTGCCCACCCGGCCTGAGAAGGTGTCCTCCGCTGTAGATAAGGGTTGGGTGCTGGAACGTGGGGTTTGGAGAGCAGACCCAGGCGGAGGACTGCTCTTGGCCGTGAGGAGACATCCTGAGGGGATGGGAGGGAGGGAGGAGCTCTGCAAATGGGATGCTTGTGGAGGAAGCCTGAACCACCAGAGAAGCAGAGCGGCGCTGTTGAGTGATGTCCGAAGGAAAGAACCTCCTTGCAGCCTCTCTGCCCCTCTGCCTGTCCCTGCCTCTCCAGGCACTAGGAATGGCTCCCACCTCAGTGGGTGATCTCACGACCCCCACAGCTGCTTCCTCCTCCCCAGCCTCCTCCCCACCAGGGTAGACTCATGGGCTGCAGGGGCACATTCAGAGCACACGCCTGTGGGTGGTCCCAATGTACAGGTGGTGCTGAAACCACAGCTGAGCCCCAAGGCCCTGCCACTAAGCAAGAAAAACTGAGATCTCTCCTTGCATCTCTACAAACCATGGTGTTACACCCCACAACTGGCTTGGTAAACTGAGCCCCAACAGAACATCTGCATGGAAATGAGGCTCTGGCAGTCAAGACCAGCCTGGCTTTAGGAACTGTAGACTTTGTAGGCACGCACATGAAGCATTTGGGCCAAGTCACAGTCTACGTTGCCCGCATAGTACCGCAGCGGGTCCAGCTCCACAATGAATGTACACCTGGGATATGACTACAGTGGATCTCTGCTGGTGACCTGATGAAAACAACATCTGAGAGACAGCAGAGTCAAGTGCCAGCATACCCATGGCTCAGGTGGGGCCAAGATCAGAGCCAACACAGGGTCAGACTAGAGCTCGCACAGCACATGAAAGATGACACGCAGAGCACTCTCCAAGGAGAACATCCCCAGAGGAGCAACACTCAGTGGCTTCCTTCTCATCAGTGGCTTCCTTCTCAGTGGGTGTGCTCCAGTCCCACTAGATCTGAAGCACCACAGATCAGAGCAGAGCTCATTTCAGATCTGGGGCCTCTGTTCCTCCAATCAGGAAGCAGACCCCGCCACAGACAGTGAGAGCCACAGAGGAAAGGCGAAGCTGCCCTCAAGATCCGGGCAGGCTCTGGTCACAGTAGTAACAATCAACCCCCTCTCAAGGGCAGAAGGGCACAAGTCTCTGGACCGCTTCACCCACCATGGGGAAGACACCAGAGCAAGAGGAACTAGGATCTGCAGCCTGCAGAACAGAGACCACAAACACAGAACATTGGACGAGATGAGATGAAAAAGGAGTATGGTGCAGAGGAGAAGTCAAGATAGAAACCTACAGGAACAATGAAGCGAAGAGAAGCTGAGCAGTGTAATGAGTAATTTTTGCTTTAAGTAATCAAATTTACAAACAAAACGTTTTCACAAATGCTAATGCCTGCTAATTATTTAACCTACTTGCCACTCATGTTGTTATCTGAGCATGTTCTAATAGAGTCTAAAAGAGTAAATGATATTGACCTAGAACTAATCAGAAATAGATGGCATGAACCATAAAGTCCTGGGATGTTTCATAACAAACAAGATAGATTTAATAAGGTAAGAGTTCTTAACAAATCAAATGAGAAGTGAGACTTGAAAAATATGGTGAGAACACAAGGAACTCTACTCAATGCTCTGTGGTGACCTAGATGGGACAGAAATCTAATCAAGAAGGGAAATGTGTATATGTATCACTTATCCTTTCTCTATAGCAAACCTCACATAACATTGTAAAGTAGCATTATTGGAACAGAAAAATTTCTTCTTAAATATTTCTCTATCTAATCTACAAGCTTAATAGTGAAGAACAATCAGAAAAAAGCACTGTGGTAAATGTTCTAAACTCCCACGTGAATAATTTCTTTAAAAACTCTGTGAGTTAAATAAATATATAAAAGCATTTTAGCATTAATGAATTGGGACAAATATACTTAACACATTTACTGTTAGTTCATATAAAAAAAGAGAAAATGTAACATAAACATTGTATTTTACCCTTCCTTTGTAAGCATCAAGCAATTGGGGTGGTGGGTTTGGACACGTACATATGGGGTATAAAAGATTTTCACAAATGCTGGTCGGGGCCCTTGGCTAAGAGGAGATTCTGCCTTGGGCCCGCCGGTGTAATAAACTGCACTCCACTATCTGCATTGTCCTTCTGAGTGAGTTTGTTTCCCGGAAAGCGTGGCTATATCATTTGGTGCATTGGCCGGGAAGCTCCTCACTTTGAGGAGACAGGTCTCACTGAGGCCACCCCGAGGCTTTGTAGCTTGAATCTCCTAGAGGGGGAAGGTGCCTCGCACCTCTGGAAGGATTCTGCTTTTCAACGCCCGGACGTTTCACATCAGCAGGTAGTGGACGGCAGCAGGGGAACTGAGCGCTCAGGTGAGGAGGAACCCACCCGGCAGGGTGGAAGAGGGGGCCTGATCACCCCCCTGGGAGGGCCTAGAAGGAGCGGGGACCCACAGGAGCCTGGAATAGGCAGGCGGCGATTGCTTGGTACAAAGTCGGCGAGCGTGCTAGGGTTTAGGAAGGGAATTTGTGATGGTCATTTAGGAGGTGTTTCTATGGCGTCTCGGGGAAAATTATTACCAAGCGATTGCCAGGGGATTTTTAGGATAGGAAACTGGTCCTTCTATGCTCGTATTCTGCCCTCTCCCAGGAGGTGTCCTGTCTGCTGTGAAATTCTTGAACCCCTCGGAATTGTTAGGCTAGAAGGAGGGGGATACAGAAGTGAGTATGAATTGGCTTTTCCGGAGATGGCCTGGGACATGGGACATTTAACCCATCTGTGTTTCCATTCGCACCTGATCAAGCCCGCCAAGGCAGAATGGACTTTAAGGGAGAAACAGTCTTGGACCACGTGATGTTCTGGTTTAGCTATGCTGACCGGCAGGTGAAGACACGCCGATCCCCCTTCTCCCTCTGGGGTCTGGCAGGTAAGGCTCTTCTCACCCCAATTAGGAAGGAGGCAGAATGGCAATTTAAGTGTCATTGAGTGAAAATATGAGAAGTACATAGGGTACTGAGAACTTCGTAGACAGAACGAAAAGGAAAAGTACCAGAAGGTCTGAGAAGGTGAGCAAGATGGGGGGAAGTGAATCTAAGGCAACTGTATTGGAGTGAAAATTTTAAAGAAGGGATTAGGAGGAGATTATGGGGTGAAGATGAAGCCTAACTGCCTCCACATGCTCTGTGAGGTGGAATGGCCCCTATGGGAGCAGGATGGCCACCAGAGAACACTGTGAACTTAAAAATAGTGGAAGCAACCTACACAGTAGTCACAGGAGAGCCAGGTCACCTCGATCAACATCCATCTATTGACTCATGGCTAGGGTTAGCTTGAGACTCTCCTACTTGGACAAGGTTCTGTATCCAGAAGGGAAAGGGAAAAGGACTAAGGGCACAAAAATTGACTGATGATAAAAAAGGAAATTCTACAGGATTTGGACGGGGATGACTTGACCCCTCCCCCATGCTGGATAATGACACGCCTGCCTCCCAGGGCTTCACCAGGACCGGAGGCCGCCTTAATGCCCGATCCAGGGCCGGGGGAAGTTCCTGCAGCGGCCGCTGCTCCTCCGCCAGCTCTCCCGGAGGTCGTATAGCCGCCGTTTGGGCAGGCTCCGATCCCGGTGACAGAAGCCTCTGGCCAACACTTCCAGGATCCGGCTCCAACCGAACCGCCCAAGCTATACCCGCCTCTCCCAGTGAGTACTGACAAGATGGGAGGGAGACGTTGGAATTAAGCAGAGACCGCGCTCTGCCAGAGAGCCGGAGGGAACGAAAGAGAACAGACAAGAGACTTACAGTGCAAGCTGCTGCTCTGGGAAAGTCTATCTCGGGCCCTCCGGAAAACCTCCTCTACCCCAGGGACAGGACAGTCCTTCAACCGGTCCCAAGGGAGGCCCTGGGCCCCGTTAGAGCCAAACCAGTGTGCCTGTCACCGCCAAACCAGTGTGCCCGGAGCCGAGCTTTTGGCCACTAGAAGGATGAATGTCCTAAGGCAAGGAAGGAAGAGGAAGCTCCCGCGGTTGTGGGGCTTGCTGACTTGGAAATTAACTAGGGCTGCCGGGGCTCAGAGATATCAGGTCCCCGAGAGCCCATGGTAACCGTAAAAGTTAGGGACCAAAACATTGACTTCATGGTGGATAACAGGAGCAGAACTGTCGGTAGTAACAAAACCTGCGGCCCCACTGTCCAGAGAGTCTACCGCTGTAACTGGGGTATCGGGAGGAGACGATTAAATCGTTTTGCCAGCCCAGAAAATGTCAGATGGTGGGGGAGGGGGGGCACCAAGTGATTCATGAATTCCTCTACATTCCTGAGTGCCCAGTACCATGTTGGGAAGAGACTTGCTCTCCAAACTAGGAGCACAGGTGACTTTCTCCCCTGAGGAGAGGCCCACCTTCTGGATGGACTCTATGACTTATTTGCCCTCTCTCTCAATGCCAACCCAAGATGAGTGGAGGTTGCATGAGCCTCTGAAGGCAGAGCCGGGTGGGCCGGAAGAGCATGACAGAGCTAACTCAATTGTTCCCTGAAGTCTGGGTGGAAGACAACCCCCCCTCACCCCAGGCTGGCTGAACATCACACCCCAGTGATAATGGAATTCAAACCAGGCACCATCCCGGTTAGAAAGCGCCAGTACCCACTATGGAGAGAGGCCTGAGCCGGCATATTGCCCCCACATCAATAGATTGAAACAATCAGGCATTCTAGTAGAGTGCCAGTCGGCTTGAAATACGCCAATGCTGCCAGTAAAAAAGGAAGGAGGACAGGACTATAGGCCTGTACAAGATCTCAGGCTAGTCAACCAGGCTACTGTGACTTTACATCCCACTGTTCCAAACCTCTACACCTT